ATACAGCAATGTCCGCTATTACCCACATAAGTTGTTATTGCGTTGGCAGTGTGACATTGTGGAAGCTGATATTACACTTGTGGGTGGTAATTGCTGTGACGGCGCAAGAACAAGCGAGAAAATAATACCTGCAATCAATCAGCTCAGTAACTGTATCTTGCAATGTCACCCCCTTGAAATTCTTGTAGAATAAAGCCTCCTGATGACTGAATGGGTTAAGGCGCTAAATCTGTAATTACTCCTTTGCAGAAGTTCTTTTTGGAAAAACAAGAATAGTGGGAACTCTGGCAATCAACTATTTTCGTCACACTACTCTTCGCAATACTCAAGAGTTTCAACTAATGCTTACCATGGTCGAAACGTGGGATAACTCCCCTGGATTCTTTGTGAGTAGCCGTTGTGAAAACAGAGGCCATTTCTTCCAGCTGTGCTCCCATGACAAACTTCACTACTGCAAATGACTGTATTGCGGGACTCAGCTCGCAATGGACAAGAATTTGGCACCATGTTTTGACTTAGAAGTTTATATCCAGCGAATCGCCAGAACACAAGAACACTCTATTCGATAAATCTCATCAGGTGTCTACAAGTATACTGTGGAAAGCTGGGTTAGGATAAGCTGGTGAAAAGTGGTACAGTTTGGTGGAATCAGAACGAAGCAGAAATGAGTTGGTCGATCTACTCAGGCAACTGCTACCACAGTACACGTAGGCAAGCATAGGCGCACATACTTGTGCGACAGAACACGCGCATTTCAGCTGGTTGGGTGACTCACCCATCACTCGGTCGTGTGAAGTAAACGCTGTCTGGATGGAGGGCTTGGACAAGTGCCTCAGGCGGTTGGCCTGATCGCAGTAACTTCGGCCATCCCTAGCATTCGTTTCCTAAGCCCTTTTGTGGTAGCGTTTTGTTACAACGTAACATTCGGTGGAAGCATAAGTAGTCCTAATTTGCTGTGCAGTTTCGGCCGGAGTTCTATGCTGGCACTCTTGATGCAACCGACATTATGTCTAAACGTTAGATGTTTAGACAGACGCGTAGTCATATGGCCGACGTCCCTCGGACTGGGCAGGGCGTTTGTCTTTGAGCCTTGATTTGTGATGGTCCTAAAGTGATTACAACTGTCCCCAAGAAAGATAACTTCTATCAGTCTCCTTCAAGAGAGACATTGTCTTCGGTTTGCTGAACAAACGGTTTTTCACTACAGTAGCTCGAACCTCCCTAAATGCCAATCTACACGTCCGTGCCGAAATAGTGCCGTTCCTGTTCGAACCGACCACAAAGACCCGGCCGAATAGCATGTGCCGGGCGCAAGTATTACACATGTATGGCAAACGGATTGGGCAGGAGATACCAAGGGAATACAAATACGGCAAAAGCTTTTTTTCGTCTTGCCAGAGGCTTGTAAACAGGTTTCAGTGAGGCAGCAGTTATCAGTACCAGTCATTTTCTGAGTACGAGCTAGGGTTACATATGGGCCCATCTGTATATGACTCTAAAGATCGGAGGTAGATAGCTTGAATTGGGAGCGGCCAACTAGCAAAACCTTCCCAATACAACCAATCCGCACACATCTGGTCTTGGAGCATGGATTGCTGCGATGAAAACTCTCACCTCAGCCGGTTCGATGTTGAAGGTCTCGTCATTGGAGCGTGTTAACAAAGATGGGAGGAGCGAATATATGTGAGATAAAACAGTTGGTTTGTGGTGCAGTAGAGTTCAATTTCGCTGGTTCGGCCAACAGCATGTCCATAAGACATAGCATTTTCTGAGGTCAAAGAACGGGAGTGGAAACTAGTTGAAGCATTGGTGCGAGTTACCCAGGCCAAGGAAAAGGGTTGGCATAGGGAGCACAGCCAGCGTCTTCGATAATTAAAGCCAGATTCGTAATGGTTCTAAAGGGAACAAACAATATCACGAGCCGTTTGGTACTGCTTGTAATGGTATCGATAACACAGCTTTGGAACGATGATAAACTACTACTGGAGACAAGCACTTCGAGAATAGCAACAAGGAGGCCAGAAAACGATTTCTGTATCACCGACTTCTCTGCTAGAAACAATGGACTATACGTCTTCTTGTTGTCCTAGTCCACATAAAAGATGATGGGAACCGCGGATATCTAGCCCCTGTCCGTTAAATACTCCCTTCTGTTTTCAAAAGTACGCGGACGTTGACCTCATATCATACCGGCAACGACACAGTGACATACGAGCTCTCGTGTCATATGAAGAGGAACCAGACAACTGGCCCAGAACCCACAAACGCTAAGCCGCTATCGCATATCAGCTGTGATTGCTTATTCATCTCTCCTGCAAACGGATGAATCTTACTGAGGGTTACTTCCAGGAGGAAGACAACATCTTAATGATAACTTGGGGATTCTGTAGGTAGCGTACAGCCCCGCTAATGCCAGACCACAATGAGTAATATCGCGTGCTTCGAGGTAAAACACTAGGTCCATAAAATTCGAATGATCCATTTCTTTTTGCCAAAGTGAAAACTGAACTCCGATGGTAGGGTACGTAAACCTATTTAAAAATGACAATCACTGGAATGATCATTGCTAAAAATGTGTACGTGCTGAGGCTTCTGGTGCAAAAGTTGTCACCCACGACTTGTTCCTCTCCTAATTGAACGATCCACCTGGAGAAAGTTCCAGCAGAACATGCATGACCGTCGGATTATAATATTCATACAGCTACTGAATAAAATCCGTCAACAGCACTGGGATGGATGGATAACGACCTCCGCGAACGACAATTGGTGGTTAGAGTTTGCACATCTTTGTCCGACCTAATTTGAGTGGAGTACGGCATGCGGGTTCTGTATTCGGAGCTTGCATATTCTTAGTATTTATGGACGACCTGGCGCAATCAAGGGACTGGAGGATTACAAGATCTTACAGTGCCACCTCGATGAGGCCTGGAGTTGGTCAGTGGGGAAATCACTTGTATTCAATGAGGAAAATTGTTGTGCTTTTCACCTCCATTGTCGACATACCTACATCTACGGGTCTGGGACGCATGATCTGCGGACCCCTACTCAGGAAGATGACCTTGATGTGATGGTACAGAACGATCGCGGTTACTCCAGACAGTCTTGGTCCGCTTCAAAAAGTGGTAACAATCTCATGGTTCTCGCGATGAGGACACTCGAGATCATGGATCCATTCATTTACTCTCTGATGCTCAACGCCTACTTGAGTCCCCATGTCCAGGCATGGTAACCTTGGCTAAAAACATGACTCAGTAGCCCCCTAGACTCCTCCAACGTCGAGCAACGAAAATGGTAAGGCCTTGAGCAACTTTTCGTACCATGAACGACTGAAGATACTCGAGATGTTCAGGCGACGCTAGCTGAGGCCACCTGGAAACCATAAATGAAATATTGTGTTACTCAGTCACACTTGCCACCATTTGAAACAGCTCAAACCTCAACCTCAAAGACTATAGGCAGAAACTGAGTATACAATACAGCCTTATGGAATGCCAACGAACTTTCTTCTCCTCCGGGGTCTGCCAATTCTGGAATATCCTTGCAAACTCAGCCGTCTGTTCCCCCAGTTTAGCGATTTTCAAAAAACGCTTGGATGGCAAATTGAACTCCGTACATCTTGTTACATGAACGCATATTCTGGGATATATTTAGGCTAACTAGCTTCTTTTGCATTATAAGCCACAATGCCACACGCACAGCTGTGCAGATTGGTGAGCAATCCTATTGTTATCTGCAATAAGTATTACCCATAGCAACTTGTTACACCATGCTGCATGGTACCATTTGATTCCCGCAACCATACTTTTGTATATCATTACTCTATCGCTTCATCGATGCGTATCTTATTTTCTATCTACTCTTGCAGTATTCGAAGCCGGTCTGTAGCCTAACGAGCTTTTCTTATAAACTGGCGCCGCAGAACTCGGAGTATCCTATACACTCGTGCGACGTGGTTGCGCGGCAGCGAAGCGACTGTATTGCTTACTGGCGTGCTGCCAATGTCTTTCTTCTTCGGTAGTATTCGAATTTGCAATCACCTCCATTATCAACCTAACGGTGCATGCAAAACCTATGCTTTTTCCCTGTTATAATCTACTATTTTATGGTAGTATAAGCATAAAACAGTTCGTCGTAAAGGACCGTCGACCTAGACTGGGTGGAAAGTTTCGTTAAGATCCTTCTCGCGAAAATAAAAAGGATCATTCTTCCACTTTGAATTCGTGTAGCTGGTCAGTTCGATAAGCATCAAATGTGAAGCTTAGTCGCACGCTTAAACATTTAGCTCATGCGCACAAAACCCACTAATGCCTCGTCAAAATAGGCTTTATGCACCTGGGTAGATAGTTTTTCAGTTTTTTAGCCTCTGCCACCTCTTACAGATTGCTAACATTCTTGCTTGTAGATTTTTGACACACTACTTTTCAATCAGGAACGTGGTCTCAGTCCCACATGGCATGAGTGAGTAGCCCTTCATCACTTTGTCGCGAAATTTGCATATCGACCAACGGTGAGGGTTTGAGTACCCTAAATCCACTCACCCTTTGTTTCTTTTTGTCCTCGTAAACTGCCACTCTCCAAATTGCCATTGTGTTGCAGCTATCCCACCCAAATCATCGCGATTTGTAGGGTGAATGCCTGCCGCAAGGTTTAGGTGATATTTCAATCAAATTGATTGGTTTGCTTGGATGTGTGTGTGTGTGTGTGAGCTTACATTGTGAGACAGCAAACAAGGTACACTAAGCTCCACATACACACCCAGTCTGCTAAGTGGGTTAGCAGAAAGCATTGTTTTCCAGTGGCTGCCCATTTTTCTGATCCGTCGAATGAGCGCCGTCCACCACCTCCATTCATTCAGCCCGTCTAAATGAAACAATCAAACTGCAACACAATGGCGATGAGCTTGATTGGTAGTGCAGTGTTCGTCCTCATTCACACATGAACAAACGTGCACACAGACATGCACGAAGCCGGTTACGCCTAGGTAGAACAAAGCATAAAGCATACAGAATGACTCGTTTGTCGAAATGTAGACACACAATGGTGTGTCCGCACACAAACACACACAAGCGAAGTAGAAGTTTTGCGTCGACGATTCGACGAGGACAATGCGACCGGTTGTCTGCACCTCGCTCTCATTGTTCATCATTGTAGCATTGTTCTTTCAATGGAACATAGGAAAACCATTCCACTCAACAGAGCGATTGTTATCTCGTATAGGCCTTCACGATTGCAGCTGTAATTTATGCAAGGCAGCAACCATGGGTGATATTTTGTGTCCACATATACATAATCACGAAACGACCAGACGAATCACCACATGAAGAGGCGTGCGGTTCCATTCGTTTCATGCTTGCTCATTCTCGTTCCCTTCCTTCATTCGTCCCGTCAACCTCGGACGTATACGCACATACGATTGAATTCAGGTCCCTGTTGGCACAGCCAAGACCACAGGACAGATTGAACGGAAGGAACAAGAAAAAAGAGACAGACAGCCAGTTTTATTGTTTCGGTATTGATCAAAAACGCGGACCAACCCTTTTGCATAAATGTACTACGTAATGGGAAGTGGTGTCCAAAACGTTGTGCTTCTCATCGGTCACACAGTTAACCAGCAAACAATTGATTTCAAGTGTACAGCCTCCGAATCCGATTAAAACACCGTGTGAACATATACGCGAGCGTTCTGCAGGCCGAGGCTTCTGAGGATATACAGTTGTACGCATATTGTGTGTATGTGGAGTCAAGTCTGATTAGGTGCCATTTGAAGACTCAAGTATGACAGAAGTGTAACTGGTTTTCACTTTCCACCGACTCTCCCGACAAGTTTAGACTGTGCAAAAGTTCGTCGACAGACGGTTACGAAGAAAATACTCTGGCTTCGAATGGCCTTTAGGTAAGTCTGTGCATTAACGTATTTCGATGTACGCACCACGCCAAGCTGGATGTATCAGAGTAGTCAACTGTGTACGGTTTAACAAGTATGGAAGAACCACTCAAAACGGTCGATTAGTTTGCGTGCTTGGGTCACTGTGTCATCATGCACTGTTGCAACACTGGGAAGATAACCGTACATACGAATGCAACTATATCACATTGGTTAGAGGGAAAGTTTAGAACTCTGTGATGCAAGTAGTTTCACTGTATAGAAAGTGGGGCTGCTTAACACGACATGAAGAACTCACGAGGCATTTTTGTGTTTGGACTGCGACACGCAAGCTCCATTGAGTCCATGGTTGAGCGCGAAGTTAACCTCGGTCACTCGCACCGCTGGACCCGTATCCAAATTGGGTAATTTCCGTGTTGTTCTCTCCCACAACTGGTACCACGGTATGTCTGACATCTAGGTGCATGTTTTTCACATTTCCGCTATGTTGGCCCAAACGAGTTGGACCCGACAATTCTGCTCCGAAGCGACGACATTGGGTGACCCAAATGTTCACCCAACTTTGTTCACATTAGAATGGTCAGTTTTAATCGATTTTCCTGCAGTGTAATTGCTTGTTTCATTATTGCAGGCACGTAGGGTTCACCAATATTTCCTCTTGCTAAGAGTATGCGGGATGATTAACGTATGTCCTGTTACGCAACATTTGCAGACTCAATGTGCCCTGGAGCAAAACTAGATGAGTATTACGCATGGATATCATTAGCCTTGAGTATCACATGACTTGAAGCAGACTCAAGTATGCGAAGCAACAGGTGCCTCACCATGAGCACTTGTCTGTCGGGAGTTCGCAATAATGTGTGTGTTACCGTCGAACAAAGCTTTCGTGAAATGTGGTTGGCCACAATCCGATCCAGTTTCATCTATGATCATGACTCTGATTAGCTAGCGAAGCGGCACATGACAGACGCTCCACTACAGATCAAGCCACAAATTAGGTATCGTACAAACTTTAAAGAATAATTCCGCTGCGCACATGAACGTGACATAAGACACTTTTGGCAAGCGATTGGAGTCTTTCAAAAAGCATCGCACCCAAAAAGATAAAACGATGTAAACCCCCTAGAGCTCAAATCAGTCCTCTCCTTAGCGTAGCTGTAGGACTGTCTTCGTGTACGTTCAAGTGATTTACTTGGTTAAACCACCTGTTTTTTCTCGTCGCTTTACCTTTACCTATGTACTATTCGCCCCGCTCATCTTAATAGATTTTCTATGATATATAGTCGCTTAGAGCTTTCCGTGAATGGACCAACTGATACAGCAGCAGTCACGAAGTAGGCACTGGGAATTACCACCGGGACGTCAGAAAATTAGATGGGCGGCTAACTCAGGTGCGATCAGTAGCTGATACGACTCACATGCCACAGGTGCCAAATGTAATCGTCCAGCCATCATCCTTTCTACGGCTGCTAGAAAACATTTAGTTTAAGTACGGTGGCAACGTGGATAAAAAATTTTACGAATGCAACTTATAATGTTACATATAAGGAGCAATGAGTTACTAGCTGGTACACGAAGAGGTAACAAACAGTGATGTCGATGATGGGAATTTGAGGTGTGGCTCTTCAGATAACTCGTGGAGGCAGTGACTGAAATTGACGAGGCTGTATTTATGGTTACGTTTTTCCTCTATACCACATGTAATCATCTTATTAATAACTACTGCTTGGTTCGCTGCTGTCTAAGTTGAACGATGCCTCACTGGCTACCTGGATCTTGGATTGCTCACCGGTTCAAACACAACTACACGCACACAACCAGGTTGTCTGGAAGGTGACGCTTACTGATTTAACGTACTTACGTACAAAAGTTTGGCTTCAAATCATGAAACGGTCCAGATAGTGCCCTTAGCTTTCCACCGGTTCTTTTAGCAGCACAATGCGTGACAGATCGAATGCTTTCCCTAGCCACGGGTAGTGATTCCCATGTTTGACTACAGGGTTCTTCGCTGACTGATAGTTCTACGATATTTTACACACAGCAGCACCAAACAAATCACCTTCAGACGATGTAAAGCATTACCTGTGCTTTGTAAACATTCGGACGTGTGTGCGTGTTCACCGACGTCCTACGCGTGGTGCCTTGTTTTGTCTTTGATGAAATCTACGTACCAGCTGTAAACTCCCCCTTGGTCCCGCTGGCAAATGTCAGTCTTCGTTTGACACAAAAATGAACTGCGTTTTTATCACATCACTGACGAAAGGATTTGCTCACCACCCATATCTGTCCTTGTGACTTACTTTTTGTCCCATGAAATCACTTTGAAGGCTATCTGTCAAGCGGTCTAAGAGACTGCGACTCGGTTGAAACTGAGGCGTAAATGTTCCAATATGGACTGAGTATGTGAACATCCCAGGAGTAAACTCGTTTTCGTTACCCCAAAAGTTTACTCACCGGGTACAATTAGAGCTGAGGGAGTGTTTTCCATCACTGAGCAAACAAGGCGTTACTGGTGGTCTTATCACTCTTGGGGACATATGGAGTCAGGAATGTCAAGAAGCCTGTAGTATTCAATTAATATTCCCACTCAAATGCGCTTTTATCTCACTGCGTCACTAGTCACGCCTCAAGGATGTTTACAGCGCAGGCAGTAGTTAAATGAACATAGTCAACTTGTTTAAAGAGTTTAAAGCGTGAAAAACCGGTGGGCAAGAATTGTAAAATTGTTTCGTAACGTTCACAAACATGGTACAGAAGCCATGGTTGGGATTGAGAGCATCCACCGTGTTTAGTCTGCCATACAGGTTCTCTCCTTTAATCATGGTTTTCCCTGAAGTGGACTACAGCCATTCCGATCGGCGTGACCGCCAAAGTGAGGATAGCTGTTTTCTCCGCTACTTCACACTTTTTACTCTAGTGAAACCCGTCTAAGTCACTGTCGATCGAGCTCGGTTGGGACGGTGCCAGGGTCTCTGATTGCTTACAAGTACAGTGAAACCTCTGAAATTGACCGCCTCTATAGCCTGACTACCTCACTAGTTTAACCGTTTAATTTTTTTCATTGCTGTAGCCTTCGCCATGTAAATCTTATGGATTCAGACCTCTGTAGGTTGGCCATCTCGGTATGTTGACTGCTTTGGTCTAGTCAGAGTGGTTAACTTACGGCTTCACGGGTAAAAAAAGAAGTTGTTTGACAAGTCCCATAGGATGGCAGGGGTAAAACTACAATATTGAAAGATATGTGAGTAGTCAGTTTAAGCGTCTGTCGAACAGATGCGCCGCTGAATAACAGTAGTGTAAAATGAGAATTGAATGTAACCAGCAAGACCACATGGGGAAACTTATAGCTGATGTGCTCCGCGAGAAAATTAAAGACAAGAGTAGTTAATTCTGTACCGTCACCTCAGATTTGCGTGACACATAAATCCGGTTTTAAAACACGATTAATATATTGCAAAGTAGCAACATCTAAACGTTTTTTTAAACGTATCCAAGGTGGGGAGGAAACAACTGTGTTTGGAAGAGTTCCAGAGTTGTCAAACTCAAGTGCAAAATAATTCCGCCGGCATTTCAGATGGCTATACTGTTCACTCAGTTACCTTTGTAACTGGTGTTATTGTTGAGTTAAAGCAAATGACGGCATACATGATTAGGGTCACTCAACGTTTGATACACACTATGGGATCATCGCATAGCAATCGCTAATATTTGCTAAAACTCAGTGATTTCAGCCTTTGCTGATAGGACAGATTTCGTAGACCCTTGACGCTTTTCGTAGCCCTATGTTATGGTTTCTCTAGGACCTCCAAGTCGCGCTTCAACTAAGCTTACCAAGCTTGGATATCGTATTCAACGTGTGGGCGCACGTAGGAATTGTGCATCATCTGGAAGGTCGATGGGTCAGATCTCTCGAATGCCCTCCGCAGCAGGATGACGTGCTGGTTGTCTCTCTTCGCAGCTGCCTCAGACAGTTTTGAACAGGAGGTCGCTTTTGATGAGAACACCAAGGTCCCGTTCCTGGAACTTGGTCTGCCATATGTGTGACCCAGTCCAATAAACGTAATGAAGCAATGGTTTATGACGTGTATAAAAGCGAATGCATGACATGTGCCGTAGGATAGTTAGCGTGCTAATTACAAAATAAACAAGTGTCAGTAAAAGAACGCGTAAAACACCACTCACCAAGGGGTTTGGAGTAACTCACGTGCGAGAAGACTTATGACACCGTCCAACGATTATTGTGCATTAACTTCAGCAGCTGATGGTCATGGGTTATATCACGTAGTGTAAATGTCAAAGTATCGTCAAGGCGTTTTTTGAAAAGGGTTAAATTGGGGGCATTAATTACATGTACCGGGAGAGCGTTCCAAAGCTGTAGCATTCGGACGGAGAAAAAGTGTTGTCGATATTCCAGACGGCTCTACTGCGTGACCAGCTTAAACTGATGACCCCTTAGAGATGTGTTTTGACTGAGTCATAAAAGAGCATGGCATGTGGTTGGGATTTCCCAGAATCTGATACAGCATTATGAGATCGCATCTTAGACGCCGATAACGTCCGCTGTATATTTTGACGGTTTTCAGCCTGAGTGGGTAGGGAAGGCGGGACAAACCTCTGACATTCTTTGTCGCCCTGCGCTGTGTAGTATCGAACGCAGTGAGATGGTGCTTTTGCCATGGTTGCCACGCTTAGACAGCCTATTCCGCATGCGGCCTCACTTACGCGCCAGACATTTTCGGAAAGACTGAGGCGTAAAACTTCCCGAACGCTTTACGAAGAAGGCCGAAATGCTGGTTTGCTATCTTTGTGCTTTTTAGTCTGCCTCAAACAACCGACGTCATTTTGAACAAGCACGCCTAGATCGCACTCATGAGAAGTCCACTGTAATATATGTTGTCCTAGGCGGTAGTTGTGAAAACTCTGATGCCGTATGCTGAGAACTTGGCAATTGGTGGCGTTGCAATCCATCATCCATCTATGGACCATGTGTACGCATTGTCCAAGTCTGT